GTTTCATATACTCCACATGCAGAATTTTAAAAGGCTTAGCAACCTACATCAAGCATCAACCGAGTACAAAGGTCGTAACTAGAAGAGATAATGTTTGCCTTACTTCTTTACTTACTGTTCTATGTTAAAAAAATAAGCTTATAACTTATTTCTAAATAGCAATAATGTATATACATATATAATGTATAATAATTGAAATGTGACTTCATTTTACAAAATACTAGTCTACTAAAACACAGCCAAGTTTGTAAAGACTAAAGGTTAGTTTTATATTATTGGATACGATAACATGAGTGCACGTGTGCCACGTCATTGTAACTTCTGTATTGTTATCTAGGCATGGTTGAGAAGTCAATAAAAAGAATATGTATAATGTTATGTGATTTAAGCTACTTAGTCTAACATTTATGTTTTCATGTTATAATCTGTAGTTTCATGTTACAAAAGGATAACGTAAGTTTATTTCCTATTTTTTAATGATGGTTACAAAGTTTGTCAAATTTACTAAATCCAGATAGAGTTAGGGTAGAGAAAATAACAACTAAGATATAAAGTTTAACTGAAAAAACCAACAGAGATGTTTGATATTTATTTAGAGGGTTTTAGAGGTTGCACAAATGAAAAAAGTATTTTTAATCTTAAAATGAAAACCACTAGGTACTTGGAGCAGTGAACACTCTGACTCCGTATAGTCACAGACAAATATTTAATTTTGTGAAGATATGCTGAACTATTAAAGTTTTAGTATGAATAAAAATCCTATAACCCAAGCGCTTTTGAAAGGTGGACCTTTCTTCTTCAGGGGCAAACTGTGTGTGTGTGTGTGTATGATTCTGTTTATGAAGTCTTCTGTTGTGCATGCTGTTTAAATTTAGCCATGAAGTAGATGTTATATGAAACATTGGCCGTAGAATAATGTAACAGCATTTTATAATGAAAATTTTGGATCCTCCAGCCAATTTATAAACATAAAAAATTAGATTTCTGATGATACAATATCATACCTCCTCACACAAAAACTTTCATAATTTATACTACCCTTTATTGGTGCATATTTTCACTTTTCACTAGCCTTGATACTCACACTTATTTCTGCAGACTTGTATGCAAATGGCTATTCAGAAACCCTCCAGCAACAGAAGTGTGACACTACCCCTATCATAACTAGCACCCTCTCTAATCTTGCACATGTTAACTACTTCTTGATTGGCAGTCTTACTGAATAGACGTGTTTTTCCTCGCAGTTTGATTCCCTATCCACTAGTTTTTGCTTTCTTAATTTTTCTATTTTGGTTACACTGCTCTTTACTGATTTCATTCTCTTTTGTGGAGAGTTATAAATTATTTTATCATCTCTTTGAGTTTTATGTGTTATACATTTGCAGTTTCAGGTGGTTATGACTTCAACTCATGTTAACGCTGCAACAGAATTACCGACCATGTCCAGTGGGTCAGGAACCATGATTCTTGGCTCATGAAGTGATGGCTCTGGTCCATGGGAGTTGACCTATTTCATGCAATAATCAGAACACACTGATCATTGTCTTATCACAGTTTTCAGTGATTGAGAAGTTTTAGTGTTGGACAGCCTTTTACCCCCTCCTGAATAGGCTTCTCAGTCTCGTGTCATTTCGGTGGACTTGTCCAGACCTCTTTCCCATTTGGTGGATTTAATTATTTGGGTATGTTATGTCTTGTCTTTATCTCCTGTTTTCTATTTTCCACCCAGCCCTTCACGGGGACAACTCAGTCCTACATCCTTTTTCTACCAAAGATCTGATGTACAATTCCAGATGCTGTCAGGTGTTGGTTGAGGTCGAACTACAGTTTATGGTCTGTCTAGCTATTTATAACCTTAACTCTTGCTATGATGAATTATGGGATTTGTTTCAGTCATTGATCAGTTTGTAGACCCAAATCGATGGTAAGTCCTGTCATGGCTAAGGACATTCCAAAGTGCAATAATATTTTTCAAAGAATAAAAAAGTGCTATGTGCAACATTTTGTGTAAAAAGATGCTATGCACACATTAGTGTCACATAAAACCCTTTTGCACCAGAAAAGTAAACAAACGAGATCAGAAATATATATCTACATGTACATGTAATTACGGAACATTCAATACTTTATCATTTTCAAAAAGTTATTCTGCGAAAATGATCTAAACCACACGGGTCATTTTTGCATAACTGAAATTCTTGATAGCACAAGTGTGGGTTGGATCTTTCCAATGTATAGCAGCAATCTAAAGGGATTGGGTTTAAATAAAATTTCAGAAGAAAGTCTAACATTTGTTTAGTCCAGAAAATATGAACAACCATTTCTTGGATTTTGTGGGTTAAGTCACTTCTGCATAACAACATACATATAGTTTTACTAAAGTACATGTATGCTAATTAGCAGTGAAGCTTACATTTTAGTTTCATGGTTTTGTGACATGACTCATCTAATTTACATACAGTGAATGACTTACTGTAGGTGATGGTTTGACGAGTGTAGA